TTATATATATATATATTATATAGTATATAATACCTAGAGAGACGAGAGAGAGGAGAGAGAGAGAGGGAGAGAGAGATGAGAGACGAGAGAGAGAGAGATGAGAGAGAAAAGAACGGGAATTTCCCTGTGCCGATGACGCATTAGCACACACAGACGGCCGCGTCACAGCAGATACCGCCCCTGCATAAATATAGAAGGCACGGTAGAGCAGCTTATGGGAAAATTAACATTTGCTCATGATATGTAAGCATAACTATTATACGATCGCTCTGCAAACCGCCTCTTGCTATTAACTACGTGCGCACGCATTGTGCTTGAAAGTTTCGTAACTTCTAAGTTTTCTTTCTTTCTTTTTAAGTTTAAGTTTTATGTTGCGCCATCATTAATGTGGCTCGATGGCGGCAGACGATTGCTTAACGTAATATATATATATATATATTTATATATATATATTATAGTATATACATACTAATTATTATGGTAGCGATCTAGGGCCGTGCTGCGCATGTCGTACAGCCATGTCATTGCTAGGCTGCTCCGTGAGTGCAGTATCGGGCGATGTATTATTTGCTTGCGCATATTAGAGTAAAAGGACTCTCGCCTCGGCACGGCATTCCGGAATATATTTCATAAGATTTAATCACATTTTGTCCCCATGCCGCCACCACACAGGCGCTGGGCCATTTAGCGCTCAAATCGGCGTTAATTAATCCGAACGCTTCGATACTGGAACAAACGCGGCGTCGGTCCGAGGATTTAATAAGTTCGTCCGCTATAACCATCGAGAAAACTCCCGGATTCTACGTGGATCGTCGGGTTAACGTATTTTTTTAGAGCCCCTCATCAGAGACAATCTCCCGTCTTCGGTCGATCGTTTCGATGTACGCGTTAAGTTAAAGATGGCGGAAGGCGCGTGTGATTCAGTCAGACTCGCGTAAACAAGACCGCTTCGACTATGCTAATGCCTCGCATAATCTACACGCAAGGAGTAGAGAAGAAGAGAAGAGAAGAAGATTAGAGAGAGGGGTCGTCTGCGGATGTGACGGAGTGTTAGTTCTAACGTCCTTGTTATCAAGCGATCACGGATCGCGATAGTGTCTTTCGCAAGCGCTTAAGGCGCTGCAGTCCGGGTCGAGAAGGTGGATCTTGCGCTGCAGCGCCACCATGATGCCGGTTTTCTCCGCTAGGCGTTTCTCGAGCGATAGCCCAGGACGGATGAAGCGTCATCGTACGGCGGGCGTGGACCTTCCACGAGGATCGCGTGGCTGTAGGAGGAGATGCTACAGAGCAGATGCAGCTGTCATAGTTATGGAATGATCTCTCTTGCTCCACCCTTCTCTCTCTCTCTCTTTCTCTCTCTCTCTCTCTCTGCTCTTCTATCTCTCTCTCTCTCTCTCTCTCTCGTCTCTCTCTCTCTCTCTCGGTCTCTCTCTCTCTCTTTCTCTCGCTCTTCGCTCTCGCTCTCTCTCTCTCGCTCTCTCGTCTCTCTCTCTCTCTCTTTCGTGCTCTCTTTCACTCTCTCTCCCTCTCTCTCCCTCTCTCTCTTCTCTTGTTCGCGCTTTTATCCTCTCGCTCCTCTCTCTTTACTATTCTATCTATCTTTTCGCTAGTTTCCGTCTCTGTCTTTAATAAAACATATCATCATGTCTGTCAATATTATTGCCGTTGAGGAATTTATGAATGGCGATCCGCGTATAGTGATGATGGTCGTCTCTTGAAAATGTTTCTCTCTCTCTGCTCCATCATCTCTCTCTCTCTCTCTCTCTCTCTCTCTCTCTCTTCTTTCGCTCTCTTTCACTCTCTCTCCCTCTCTCTCCTTCTCCTCTCTTCTCTTTCGCGCGTTTGTTTCTCTCGCTCCTCCTCTCTCTACCTATCTATCTATCTTCGCCTAGTTTGGTCTCTGTCTTGAATAAACCATATCCGCGATGTCTTGTCAATATATGCCGTTGGATTTTATGAAATTGCGATCGCCTATAGTGATGTATGGTCTCTCTTGAAAAACCTGCTTTCTCTCTCTCTCTTCTCTCTCCTCTCTTCTCTCTCTCTCTCTTCTCGTGTCTCTCTCTCTTTCTCTTCTCTCTCTCTTCTCTTCTCTCTCTCTCTCTCTCTCTCTCTCGCCTCTCTTTCTCTCTCTCTCTCTCTCTCTCTCTCTTCTCTCTACTCTCTCTGTTGTCTCTCTGCACTCCACCCGTTCTCCGCTTCTTCTCACTCATGCTCCTCTATCCCCTTCTTCTGTCTCTATCTGGACTATCTATATATCTATCTATCTATCTATCTATCTTATCAATCTATCTATCTATCTATCTTTATCTATCGTATCTATCCTATTTATCTATCTATCTATCTACTATCTATTCTATCTATCTATTCTCATCTATCTAATCTATCTATCTATCTGATCTATCTATCTATCTATCTATCTATCTATTGTATCTTCTTATCCATCTATCCACTATCATCTAATACATCCTATCCATCTATCTGATCTATCTATCTATCTATCGTATCTTCTATCTATCTATCTATCTATTATCTATCTTATCTAATCTATCTATCTATCTATCTATCTATCTTATCTATTCTATCTATCTATCTATCTATCTATCTATCTAATCTATCTATTCTATCTATCTATCTATCTTATCTATCTATCTATTATCTTTCTAGCTAGTCTATCTATCTTATACTATCTATCTTTTTATCTATCTATCTAATCTATCTAATCTATCTATCTATGTTAGAATGTGTTTCACATAGTTAGGTCGCTGTCTTCACCAAATCACATTATTCACATCGTTATAGATATTAGCAATCGCTTAGAAAGTTAATTGGTATATGAAAACATTAAAAGAACGAAAATGTTTATTACATCTCCTCCGGTAACTCATCGATTGACACGTACCACATTGCCCATTCCCTATGCCAACACTCAAAATAAAATAGCCTCCTTGATTTCCGCTTCACGGCAAGAAGGTTTCAAGCGCCCTGGGCGATGGAAAGGGAATACAGCAGAAATCTTCAGTCACAGCACTTATTGTGTGTTACCGTGGCTGATCGGCATAGCGACCGCTTATTATACGACACACACACACATACATACAAGCGCAGTCCCCAGCAGGCAGCGCGATGGCAACGTATTCATTCATGACCACTCTGCTCACTCCACGCATGCCTCACTCTGCCGATCGGCACTCATATAAATTTACTATATAATATAATAGTGATATATATATATATATATAATATATATATATTATATAGTATATGGTCGTGTGTGTTATATATATATATATACTCGGATATGTTCCCAAGCTGTCGGTGCGTACGTACTGTGACCGTGCTTAACGGCATGATTGCTTGCTTAGCGGTTCTCACTTTGTGTTCTGCCTAATATGTTCTGCTGTGAGCCCGCGAGCGCTGCAACGCGTCAGACTTCGTAAACCGATCATAAAGAGCCGCCAGAAGTATGCCTTTAGTTCGATCATAAAGCTGGCAATGCTTTGACGCCGAGTATAATACAGCGAGAAAAGTATTATACCCGACCCTCCCTCTCCGCTATTCAGCCGGTCGCCTTCCATTTTCTCACCCATACCGTCGTTCGACGCGGCCATGGCAACCGTCATATACATAGACTGCGCCCGAACTCGCCGCTGCGGCGCAGCCACTGCGGTGGCCATGTCTCACCACAAGAATCCGCGCCGCCATAACAAACAAGAGAGCAATTTTTCATCCCTGCTGATGAGAATTGTTCGCGGTGGAGGCTATGCTACTTCGTGTAGCCTAATCCCCGGTCGGTTTGAGCGTGATCGTCAACGTGACCTAGCGACTCGGAGTCCTTGGCCCGCGACCGCAGCGGGCGCTTTGTGACCCTGAGCTTCTGAAATAACACGGCTTAGACATTTTGCTTCCGTCCGGTTGCATTAGCGGAGCTCTGGACGGATATAGAAGGTGCGACCGATGGATTTCTCCGTCTTTCTCTCTCAACTTTCTCTCTCCTCTCTCTCTCGCTCTCGTCTATGCTCTCATTTCTCGTCTTTCTCTTTTTCTTATTGACAAGGAAACAGCTAGTATTGCTGGAGTTTGGGTCTGTTGCGTTTGCTGTTAGGTTCAGACCCGTATACCACTCGGACCGTCGTTTACGTTGCTGGACCGTTGCGCAGCTAGCTGATGAGATGAACGTATAGATGGAGGAACCCCCTCTCTCCCCCACTCCTTCCATCCTTTATAACTCTCTACTCCAGCTCCTCATGCTTCGCCCTTCCTCAATCGCTCCTACTCTCTTCTCCTTTTGCTTCTGCTCCTCATTCCTCATCGCTCCTACTCCTACTCTTCCACCTCTAACCTCTCCTCCAAACTCCTCATCCTTGCCATCTGTTCTCCTCCTCCTCCTCCTCCTCCCTCATGCCTGCCTCCTCCTCCTCCTTCTCCTTCTTCCTTCCTCCTCCTTCTTTCTCCTCTCTAACATCCTTCCTCTATTCCGCGTTTATTTTTGGCTCTTTTCTCTGGTCGCTCTCGTGTCACTGACGCCCTTACCATGCCGGTCTTTCTCATACTTTCTCTCAATCGTTTCACCCTGTTTTTAATCTTTTGTCTCGTGTCCCTTTACGTCTCCCTCACTCCTCTTTCCGTCTCAGTCCTCTCTCCCATCTCTCTCACTCTCTCTCTCCTCTCTCTCTCTGTCTCATCTCTCTCCTCTTCTCTCTCTCTCTCTCTCTCGGTCTCTCTCTTGCTCTCCTCTCTCTCCCTTCTCTCTCTCTCCCTCTCCTCTGCCTTTCGTCGCCTCTCTCTTCCTCTCTCTCTCTGCGGTGCCTCTTATGTGCGTGCGTCGCGCGCGCACTATGTGTGCCTGTCGGCTTTCCCTCTCTCCCGCTGTTGCCGCAGAAACGCCGCCGTAACCAATTTTATGCATTTTGTGCGAAAAAACCACCTCCGTCATGACTTATACCGGCTGCCTCACACAACGTGCGTGTCTCAAGAGACTCCCTTCGTTTTCGTTTACATAGTCGGAGATTCGAGAATTCCCGACCGCCGCCCGGCCGCGGCAGCGTCCCTCCAGCGCCAGCAAATTCAGCTGTAGTTAAAACTCTCCGTGTGTGGCGCTGCGTCGTCGCGTCGTGCGTGAATAGCGGCCAGCGAAGCGCCGCGTGACTGAGCGATCAACGCTCTGTTGCTAACAACGCCAGGCAATTACCCAGACGTCTCGCAAGTCCTACGCATCACAGGCACTATCATTCGCTGGGGGACAAAACGCGAAATTGCCTAAGTTGGCGCTGCAGTCGTGTCGCTCCAGTGGACGATTTACGATGAGTAGTTAGTGAGCTTCAACAACTGGAAACGTTTATATGAGTTTATGTAATATATGCTCTAAAGGCGTTTCATAATAAATATATATATAATATATATATTATATATACATATATATAAACACATATGTATAATATAAGTGATAGTATATATATATAATTTACTTAGTTAATGGCTGTTATCAGATGCGCCGCATCATTATTGTAAATTATTGTTAGAACTATTATTAATAGCAGCTTATACGAGTCAGCCATTATTATCTGTCCCGCTGTCTCCCTCCTCCCTCTCGTCACTACAACTCTCTCTCTCCTCTCTCTCGTCTCTGCATTCTGTTTAATCACTTTCCGCGCCCTCTGCTCTGCCTCACTGCTCATTCTCGAGATCTCTAGCATCTATCTATCTATCTATCTATCTATCTATCTATCTATCTATCTATCCATTCATTCATTCATCCATCCATCTATCCATCCATCCATTCATCCATCTATCCATCCATCCATTCATCCATCCATCCATCCGTCCATCCATCCATCCGTCCGTCCATCCGTCCGTCCGTCCGTCCATCTGTCCGTCCGTCTGTCCGTCCGTCCGTCCGTCCGTTCGTACACCAGGCCAGGGCTATCGACGTAGGATGCTGCTGCTGCTGCTGCTGTCGGCTGCTGCCGTCTCTATTCATCGCTGCAGGCGAGAGAAGAACCCGACTCTTATCTACAGATCGGCTTCACATCACATCAAACGCAGCGTTTGCAACATTGCACTACATTGCACTACATTGCACTACAGTACACAGCACTACTATACACTATACTACACTACACTACTCTACACTACATTACACTACACTACGATACACTACGATACGCTAGAGCTATCGTCTGCTAATCTCCTCTCACCGTTCTCGCAGGTCGGCGGCATCGTTCTCCAATCTCTCCGACTTCGCACCGAGTCTCCCTGCCTCCTCTCTGCACTCCTCCACTACCTCCTTCGCCTGCCGCAGCTCCTCCTCGTACACGGCCCGCAGCACCGCCTCCAGCCGCTCGACCTTCGTCTTGTAGAAACCGACATCGGACGTCAGCTTCTTGTTGAAGAAGGTGAGGAAGTATACCTCCTCCAGGTAGCGCGCGAATCGCTCGTTGAGATCCTGAAGCTGCTCCTTCTCGTACCCGCGCTCGGCCGTCGTCGTGTGCACGCTCAACTCTGTCGACGCCTTCGTCGTATCGTCATCATCGCCGCCGCCGCCGCTGCCGCCGCCGGGCTGGTTCTGGCGTTTGCTCATGGTGTTGTCGATGGAGGTGATAGCCGTTGATAGTGGAGAAGGAAGGACAGCAGCTGTGCGACGTGCCGGCAAGAAATGGGAGTTATTAGCCGAGAGAAAATGAGCAAAGTGGGGTACATTCTCTGTGGTTCTCGATATTCGCTGTGTCGCCTTCTCGCGCGCTCTTTCTCTCTCGCTCTCTCTCTCTCTCTCTCTCTCTCTCTCTCTGTCTCTCTCTCTCTCTCTCTCTCTCTCTCTCTTTACCTGCGGCAGTTTCCTTCTGAACAGAATCAGACTACGTTACTGTATTTGACTGTGCTTTGCAGGCCAAGATCCGTGTTCGCGCATGCGCAATATCTGCCGATAGGAATCTTATTTTGCCACAGTTATATATTTAAATTAGAGTAGGGATATCTGAGAGTAGATTTTCATGGTAAATTTCCATCACCTGACTTCTGTTTACGAATAGGAACACGCCCTAGCATGTGGGGTACCCGCGGCAGTTGCCTTCTGGACACATTCTGGATACGTTACTGTACGCGTTTATTCGTTATCATGAAAAACACGATTGAGCCGTCGTGTGTGTAGGTCCGTTATATCAGATTCAGATTCTAAAAGCGAGGATTTCTAATGTTTTTCTCCAACCGTTTTCATATCTCCCCGCCTGTTCTGATACTTACCGTTACACCTAGCGTAACACTGAGTCTATATAGTTAGTCTAACATGTCATAGAACACTCTATTTTAGACAGATACCATATTTCTCACTGGCATGAGGCGACGATTCGCGTTGATGAATCTCTTCAGTTAGCCTACGCGCTACGAACGATTCGTAAAACTTCCCCCTTTCTCCGCCAGGTGTCAGTGCAAACCTAACGACGAGGACGCCGGCGATCCCTCCCCCTAACATGAGAGAGAAGGGACTACCCTCCCTTCGCATTCGCCTCGCTTACAGCGTGAATCGCGCCACCTGGCGAGCAGCACGCGTACTAGGCGGCTCGCACCTGCTCGTGGGCTTTCATCTGAGCGGCGATCTCTTCCTCCAGTGCCGGGATGTTGACCTCCAGCTGACCTCTGAGCGCCTGCTCCTCCGCCGTCCTCTGACAAACACATAGAAGCAGACGATGTTCGAAAATCGATTACGGCATCGCGATGACGTCACGCGCGGCCGCGTCATCGTGACGTCATCGCGATCAAATCGTGGTGACGTCATTGCATCACGGGTTCGTTACGTCATTGTGGTCATGTCGTAGTTACGTCATCGCGTCAACTAACGTTATTTAGTCGCGTTTGGTTAAGTAAGGCATCCGCTGTGTAAAAAATGGCCGGCGCCGCACCGAGGCTATCGCAGGGTTTGTGTTCGCGGGGCGAGGGTATCGTTGCGACAGTGCTCTCTTGCTCTCTCTCTCTCTCTCTCTCTCTCTCTCTCTCTCTCTCTCTCTCTCTCTCTCTCTGTGTGTGTGTGCGCATGCGTGCGTGCGGTGCGTGCGTACGTGCGGCATGCGTGTGTGTGTGGCGTGCGTGCGTGTGCGTGTGCGCGTGCGTGTGGCGTGTGCGTGTGGCGTGTGCG